AGTCTTGGATGTCTCACTAGTTTGTATCAGACCACTAAGCCTTGTCTTTTTTATGATTTTGAATTTTGTTACACATTTTTCTCCCACTGTATCCAGGACCTCCTCTTTTAATCCTTCTCCGAGTGGTTGACAGTAGTAGCTGAGCACCATCTAGTTCTTCTAGTCTCAGGGTCATGTAAGCTGAGGTTCACATGGTCCACTAGTCTCTTGGAGTAATTGTTTCCATGTGTCTTTGGTTTTCTTCATTCTTCTTTGCTCTGGATGAGGGGAAATTAATAGTTGCATCTTAGATGGCTGTTTGTCAGCTTTTAAGACCCCAGTTGCTCCTCACCAAACTAGGATGTAGAGCAATGTTTCTTTGTAGTGTGCTGTGGAAATTGAGCTTGATGTTCCCTGTGACCATAGATCCAAACCCAGAGACGCAGTTATTCAGTGTCTCGTTGTGTTTGGCTGTGATTTAGAAGTTATCGTAACTTTGCCCCTTGGCTATGATATATATGTGGACATTCTTATAGCACATGCAAATACTCATGTAGAAATATTATCTGCCATTTTTATATATAGTCACGGGTTTATTCCTTTAGTCCTGGACGTACCTGATCATTTAGCCTGTCTACCTACTCATCCACCTACAGATTAGTGTTTGTTATTACGGATAATGCAGTATTATCTAAGTAAAACTGCTTATCTTTGTTGTCTCTACCTCTATATTCTTTAAATTCTGAGTTGATCTCTGTTCTACATTAAGGTAGAACATCAAAATGTTCCTTCCTAAAACATGGTCTCATAGGAAATTCTCCATGTAAAGCTGTCTGTGTCTGTCTGTCCCTCTTTGTCTATCTCTTTAGCATTTCTTATCATTATCTTTCGCCTTTATAATTATAGTTATGCCCTTTTAAGATCTAAGTTTATGAAAATAATTTTTAATATGCCTAATGTTACTCTCATCTAAACATTTTCTTAAAAATCCAGGTTATCTTTTTCTGCCCTGGCCTGCTTTCCCAGCAAGTCTTTTCTCTTCTGTACTGGTAACCTTCTGTGCAGAGCAGTGTTGTACTTGCAAATTAACATCTTTGCGCAGCAAGCACCCTTATAAGCAGGTTAAAGTACTAGAAAGAAGATGTTTGAAGTGATAAATAACAATTTACAGCAGGAAGTGGAAACAAATTTTTCTTGATTTATCACTCTTCTTTTACATTTTCAGAAAATTTGTCTCCTCTCTGTCCTTAGTAACCTGGAAATTTATTAGCCAATTAACCACTTATGAATGACTTTATATATATATATATATATGGATAAACCAATGACTTGATCCTTTTCTCCAGTTTTTGTTCAAGTTTCCTCCTCAATCTGAAGTGCTCTTTTGTCTAAAATCATCCTTCATACCTCACAAAGTCTTACTCATTCTTTAAAATTCGTCTCACAATGCAGTGATGAAGAGAGGCATTGAGTAAATAAATGAGCATAAATACATAATTCCAAGTTAGGATCCCACCAAGAAGGAATAAAACAAAGTGTCATGATGTCCATAGTACAAGGGCATAGAATGAGGAAAAGAAGCCAAGAACAAAAAGTTAAACATCTTTACCCTCAGAAGAATAGCTTGGTGTATTAGGAATAAGTTACTTTTCTTCAATGTTGCAATGATTTTTTAAATAAAAATAAATAATCCAAACTTGATAAATTCTACCATTACTTTATATTCGTGTCAATATAGCACATATAGCTGCTCTGAAAATGACTAAATGCACTGTCTACTTTTTCTAGCTTATCAACTAAGAGTCTGCCAACCTCCACCACCTGTACCAAACGCTGAAATTTTGACAGAAGATGATGAATTTGAAATAGGTAAAGTCTGTTAAGTCAACTTTAAGGACAACTTGCTGTTAACAGAAGTATTTGCTCACAGAGATAAAAATAAAGAAGAGTAGCACTCCACCTTTAGATTTTCTTCCCTTACATTGAGGAGGATTTTTTTTAGATTATTTAACCAGGTACAGTGTGTGTGTGGGATATTAGGCAAGAAGAATGGATTCCATATCTGCATGATGTACAATTAGAAAATAGTTTGGGAATTTGTACCATATTGTATATTCTGGTGGTCCTTCCCAAATTATCTTTTTAGTGCCTTCTTACACTATAGCTTTAGCCAGTGTTCTTTAAAT